TGTCTTGACCATCTCTAGTGGTTGAGACTTAGCCTTTAGCATGTGCATGTATTCGATGACCTGAATGCTATTGAGGTGAGTGATCCAGAGAACTCAAACCGGATCCAATTCAACAATTCTTCTGACGGAGACTTTAAACTCGGTATCTTTAAGGAACGGGACCCTGATTCTTGTTCTCTCCCACCTCTATACATGAGTTGTTGTTGGAGTACTCTGGCCCGAGGTTCTCTGGCTTGTTGGTGGTTGGGGAATCAATCGATTTCTTGGAGGTGATTCTGGTAAGGCTTCGTTGAGATCATTGATGTGGTCGAAATCCCTTTCTTCAAGCATTTTGTCATCAAAGAACGCAAAGAAATTGTCGATATCTTCTTTAATTTGTTGAGGCTGAGGCCCTTCTTCATCAGAAGCAACATTAGTCGTTTCAGCACTTCGACCTTTAGCAGCCTCCGACTTTTCAACCATTGGCTCTAATTCCACCTCAGCCGCTTCGGTGGCATCAGGTTGTCTTTGACTTTGAGGTTGTGATGGTTCAGTACTTGTAGTCGGTCTTTAGATTTGACGAGAGATGTCAGGGCCGGTGGTTCTCTGTCTTTTCTCCTTCTCATGATGATCGAGGCCATCGTCCCCGTCATCATGTCTTCATTTTGAACCACCTGCCTGACTCTTGCACAAGTCCTCAAGGATCTGAATCCTCTCGAACATAGCTTGGAACGATGTTCTGATGGCGTTTGCCATGGAGTTGAGCTGAGTAGATAGACTGCAGAAACTGCTTTTGGACCTTATTTTGAAAGGCGTAGAATTTCGGTCTGATGACATATTCAGGTTGGGTTTGCACCCTGAGCATGCCAATGAGGTCAGCTTCTACTTGTACTCAATCATCTGCCTCGGACAACAACTTTGCATAAAGTAAGGACTTTTTCTTCGGTGGAGCATTCGGCTGGTTGTCTAGGCTCAGAAGTAGGTAATCGTTGTGGCTGTGGAGTCGGATTCACGTGCTCCATGATAGATTTTCCTTTCAGTAATCTCCTTAGTTCATTAGAAGCCTTTGAAACAGAAAATTCAAGATCTTTAATCTTTAAAAGCATTTGATCATGTTCTTCTTAAAAAACTTTTGTTATTTCTGAAATCTTTTCTTCAAGAAAAGGTGGAACATACACTTTTGGTTCAACATCAATTTCAGTATGTTCAGGTTGGTTTTGGGAAAGTTCTTCCTTAGTGTAGCTTATGAAATAGTCATCCGACAGAGGTTGTCTGACATAAGGATATGACTCATTCAGTTTAGCATTCATAAAAGGAAGTCGCATTTTGTCCAATCTTTTCTTGTTGGCATCTTCTCTTGCCTTAACTTTAGGAAATGATGGAGTTAACTTCATTCGATATTTAGGATCTAGTTTCATATAAAGATAACTATAAAATGTTGGAACTTGTGAAACTGCCTTTCCCAAGCAACTTGGGTTTTCAAACCCCAAGCCAACTTTGAGTTGATAAAATAAGAATTCATTTGGTTTGTTCATTAAAATCGTTTGATCTGTTTGAACCCTTTTAACCAATCTTTCTTCAAGATTCTGAAGTTTTGACATTAAATTATAATTTTCATAACATACTTTTTCATACATCAAGGTCTTAGAAACGTTTATCGTTATTGTTTAGAAATCTCTAATTTTCTTCTTTCAAAGATTTAATTAATTGCAAGTTTTGAGCTTTTTTACAAGAGAGAGTAACAATTAGCTCATGATTCTGTTTGCACTTGGTTTCCCAAGAAGCACTCGGTTTCTTTTCTTTTTGCAGCAACGTCTCATAAACTACGTGAATGTCCACATCTGATAGACTTGCTCTGACTAATCTGAGAAGCAAATCTCTTCCATTCCGATTGAAGATTGCTCAGAAACTTGATGTTGTTCTTTATCAGTGTCTTCTGTATCCCATTCTTTCTAAGCTTATTCAATAGATTGCAAAACCTCTCGTAGACAGACTTCACCATCTCACCTTCTCTTGCCTTGAAGTTCTCATAGCTCTTGATGTAGTTTGTCACTTTGATATGAGCACATATACGGCTCCCCATCATCTACTTCTCTATCTGGTCCCACATGGTCTTCCCACTTTGTTTATGACTATCTATATTGGTATAGATATCATTTGGAGACCTTGAAGAATGTAGGACCTTATCATCCTATCAGCATCAACTCGTGTCTTTTCCATCTCTCTCATGGAAGCATACTTCCTCGTCACTTGTTGTTGTACGAGGATTGGCAAATTGGCATTAGGAGAAGCCGATATGATGTCCATGAAGACGGTTGGTCCATCTTCCATAGATTCTCTCATCAAAGGGACAAGTTTTTGTCTGTCAATGAAATCAAGGAATCTGTTCTTCCATTGAGGATAATCCCCTCTGAACAGGCCGGAGGTTTTGTGTCTGAACCAATTGTCATTGCCTCTCCAGATGACATTGTTATATATTCTCATTGTGATTTTACTTCATTTAAACACACACTTATCCGACCAACCCAACTCAACACACACGGTTTGAATTAGGTTATAGTTTTGTTGGTTGAGAACTTTTAAATCACAAACATTGGGTTGGATTGTTTAACTCAGCCAATCCAATCCAATCCAACCCAACCCAACCCAACCCAACCCAACTCATGTGCAATGTGGGCATAAAGTGACTTATAAACCCACAATTACAGAAGAAAAAAAACAAAGGATTGTGAGTTGAAGTATTTCTAAAGTGTTTTTGAGTTTGTTCATTGTTTAACAAAATCATGTTGAATTGATAGAATAATGTCACCTGGTTGATCAACTTTGTGTAACATATTCAAAGCTGATATTGAAGAGTTGGTTTCAGACTTATGATTCAACTTTATATGATTTCTAAAAGAAAAATGATTGTAAATATACTTTGATGCTCTTTTCTTGTTAAACCTATTCGTTTTAAAGAAACCTAACACCACATAAGAAAAGGTAAACTATAAAAACTTACACTATTTCAACGATAAAAGTAGGGTTGCACCCAACCCGAAAACTCTAAGCCGATTATATGGAATTAACCCAACTCAACTTAACCAAAATTTTGTAAGGCAGTAACGGCTTTCCAACCGTACATCAAAAAGAAGTGATCTTAAAAATAGATCAAATCTCGTACGAATATATACATATATAGAGAAGGGATCTTTTACAAACTCAACCATTAGTACAAACCAATTAATTTGAGATATTTTTAAAAATAGAGTTTTTTTTTTATCATGATTTACATATTTATGGAAAAGATTATCATAGTTCATTTTTTATGATTAACACTTTGTATTAGAAAATGATCGAGATTCATAGAATCAGATATTCATTAAATTAGATGAACAGTTGAGATTGATTTATACTAATGATTGAGATTATAAATGAAAACACCTATATATATATATATATATATATATAGACAGATAGATAGATAGATAGATAGATGGGAGGGGGAGGTTCAAAGAGAATAGTAACGAAATAAAAGAACTCAAAAACTATTAAATCACGTATAAATCACATGTTATTTTACACCAACAATTAATAAAAAGTTATGTGCCCGACGTGGCCTGCAACCTTAGATCATGACCAAATTCGCATGAGACACAAATGATTTTACACGTGATTTTAGAGTAAAAATCACATTTAATTCTACCATTTTCTTATTCTTTTATTTAGTTATTGTTCTTATATAAACGTGTCTCTCATATGAAGATGTATATTTGCTTCTAACCCTAAGGAGTTGGGTTGAGTTATTAAAGAGAGAAACCAAAACTTTAACCTACAACATTAAAAGCACTTAATAAAGCAACAAGTATCAATCAACAACATTTTATTTTACTATTTCAAATTAATTACAAGTTCAAACATATTCTTAAATAATATTCTCTCTCTCTCTCTCTATATATATATATATATATATACATGTATATGTATGTATATACATATATGTGTATGTATATATGTGTGGGTGTGTTGAGAATCTTGGTTCACAACTCTACCCTATCTCTAAGAGAATAAAAATTAACCTTCACCCATCATAGCATTAACATTAGCATCATCCTCTTTTGTCTCCATTCATTTAAGGGAAATGATCAAACCATCTCATATCACATGCCATTATGTCACCTCAACCTTCTCTTTGTGTAATGTGTATGACCACACATTCACATTCTCCAATGATATCCACCTCCTTACCCGTTAGCCTACACATTCACATTCTCCAATGATATCCACCTCCTTACTCGCTAGCCTAAAGCAGCAAGCATTAGACTACTACAATCACATGTTATCTTTTAAGAGGATTGACCTCTTATAACTTGCTTATAAGAGAATACATCCTCTCATCAATCTCTACATTGCTTAAAACTGAATCATTGGAAATACACTTGTATCCATCCATTAGTTACTACTGGATGCTTTAACCCTTAATAATAGCACAAAAATGAACAAAAAATATGATCAACACTCATCAATCGCCAGCTATAAGAATCTGCAGCTTCCACTGCTCTCACATCTTTTACCCCTACCCTACCCATCCCAAACGAAACGAACCCGTCATATATCCCACTCAAAATCAGGATCGCAAACGGCTGTCAATCCCAAATCAAATGTGTTAACAGATAAAGCATGATAATAATGTTGGGTTTTAAAGCAGAATCAGACTAGAAAAGAACGAAAGTGAGAATAGAAACATGGCTGATAAGAATGAACTAGTAACATTAATGATGATGACGGCATGCATTGCATATCATCACTCACCAGCCATAAAAGTCTGCATTTCTCTCACTTCTTTTAAATTACCATACCAATTCCAAAATCAAATGTCTTCTCCAGACACAAATTCTACTTGAAAGAATCACGAAAGGTCTGGACTAGAGCTATCTCTTCTCTAGAAAGAAGGTTTGGTGTACCCTCAACTCAACATGCCCACAAAACACTGGTAGAAGGCTGAATATCATGGTGTTGCCTCCTATGCATGAACCATCAAACTAATATCCATAACGAGAAGGACGACCACGAGTATGGTATTCCAGAAATGAAGCTGTGGAAGAACGATACTCGGATGCATGGCCCACATCACGATATCCAGCCGCTTGCAAGCCTCCTGAAAGACGATACTCTGTTGGTTGTGTTGCAGAAGGAGGAGGATACTCTCTGCTTACAAGGCGGTAGTGTGATGGCAATACAGCAGCTGCTGCTGGATGGTGATGGTATTCGACTCTTTGGCCTACGAAGGGGTACCCATCATCACGGTATGTAAGAGGCTCTCTGCCATACAAGTGATGATGTTCCCTATCGTGCTCTTGGTGCCGACTAACCATCTCATCATGGTGCCTTGGTTCTGTATCTAGAACACGGTAGGACCGACTAACCATCTCATCATGGTGCCTTGGTGCATAAGAGTATGCACTCTCGTAGCCATATGACCTCACAGGAGCCAGCTCCTCCGGAGGTGGCGGTGGAAGGTATCTTGCAACAGGGCGCACCGGAGAAGGAAAAGCCTCCCGTTCATATCTAACATGGGGCTGACCATAGTCTTGGTACCTTTTTCGCTCCCGACCCGAAGGAGGGTGGGGTTGCGTCTCTTCCTCCGGGGACCACCTTTTGCGTTTCTTTCCGTCTCTAGCTATGTGAGCACCTTGTCTACTTCTACGACTTTCATCTGCCCCACTTCGATGATTTTTTATGGCCTTTTGTGGACTGGGGCCACTTTTCGCAGCAACAAAAAGTTTACACAACTTCGTCACCTTTGGAATACAAATTTACTGATACTGTAACTAAAGTACGGTTGTCGGGGATAGTTCTGCAATTTAGAACATATTTGTCTCGATATATTCATGAAACAAATTACAAAGAGAAGAAGACATACCTGCTGCGCATTCAGTTGACAATCAAATTTGTTCCTACTATAGTAGTTTTCTTTGATGACATTCCTAAAAATTTCCTCTGCCAATGGCAAGCAATCCTGCATCACAGTAAATCGAACCTACAACATAATTACATATTTTTGTTAGTAATCAATTAAGGAGTTCTGACAGAAAAATAAATCAGATACACGAGAATGATACATGAGTTGATGCATTTGATCACACAGAAAATTTGACATTAATAATGGGAGACAAAACAATAAGAACCGACATTGTACAGTGGATAACAGTGTGAAAGGATTACTAATCAAACACAAGCCTCAACACTATGGTAGCACTTATCAATTCATGAGGCACACACGAAGGTCGTGCAATATTATATGTTTCAATAAAATGATTGATTGTGATAGTCCCTCAAACAACAAAGACGCTTTTTCATCACAAGACATACATCATATGCCCCTCTTTATTCCTTGCAGCAAAATATAACACCGTATGTGGTAACTTGGCATGACAGGGAACACAATGTTTTGACACACAACTGTAACAATAAAATCAGAATTTCGAAGATTTGAGCATGGTAATGTTGATAGACAGAACTTGACATTATTAGCAAACACCCAGTAGACAGCACATTACTTACAATTGGTTAACATGTCTAAAGGCCAATATCTCAAGACAAGATCGAAACATGGCACAAGCAGAATCCTTTTCTGAACAAACAAGCTAATACTTTCTGACATCAAGGAAGGTAACAGGTTACTAGATTGAGGCTACAAATTTCAATATATGAAATAACCCTTCCTAAACGTAGAAGAACAAGAACTTCAAACTAGCACAGATAGGACATATCCTCGTATCCTTTTGTGTCCTAACTGCTGTTTGAGACAAGTGCTTAATCCCTCAGTTTATTAATTCCAGAGCATGTGCAAACCTGGCTTGATAGGAAATAAAAATTGTCAACAAATTTGTCATTACATCCTTTTTGCACTTGAAGGTACGAGAAGCAATAAAGAATCCACTTTAGGCTTAGTTGCCTGACACTCTAAAACACAAAGACTCCTTCAATTCCTTTGAAGTATTTTTTAATTGCTTCTTTGCTTTTATGAATCCTCGGCATCTCAAGACTCTTAAGAGGTGGGCTTTTCTGCCACCCCGGAGCAGGGAGTTATATATTGATAATATCCATGAACAACATATACGCAACCTCTACATCAGTAGAAGTCGTCACTGCTACCTATGATCATCTTAATTAGAACTACAGACATGAGAAGTAGGCAACTTATTGTTGATTAAACAGCTAAATTCCATCACAGCTCACTTCCTGCTAAAGTTGGACTGAACCTAGACTCATGAGAACGTTATTAATATCAGTGTGCAAGAGGAAACATCAAATGTTTATTTTTATACAACCACCTACAGACTTCTACATCAATGGTTATGGTTCAACAATTCTCCTTATGTATAAATCACTTCTACCCTTCAAGTTGGATCGCACCCAACGTATCAAGTGCATTTTAAAGCACCTATAGCTTCTTGTTATTTTCTATTCAACAATATCGTCCCCCATTGTGAACTTTTAGTAAATCAAGGAAACAAAAAAATATGGATTTGTTATTGTTTACATTATAGTGCAGTTTTCTCCCTTTAGCAAGCAATAAGCTTGAACAGATTGAATTATGTCAATCAATAATAGCATATTGTAGTCGGGCTTTGGCCCGGACACCCTTACAAAAAAAATAATAGCATATTGTACCGGCCAAAAACATGGAATTGATGTCTAATTCTTCTAGTGCATTACATCATAAACAGATTGCTTTGATAGTAGCTATCTAGACCGTTCCGTCAAACATTTAATGTGTCTGGAGTTGCAGGGTCAAAACATCATTTTGGGCAAGACTGGAACTGTTTGAGACTTAATTTAATTGGGTAAGTTTCAGCACAATTGCAGAATAAGCAATAAGATCCAAGAGTTTTTGGCAACCTTAACAAATAAATTAAGTGAAGCATATATGGCCTAGGAGTTTCTGACATCTGTTGGTGCCTCTAACAGAACTTGATATTTACTAAGGAAAAATGTTATTTTATCATCTCTGAGAGGTTTTTCAGTAGGCTTGTAGCTTTAGTTTCTCAGTAGTGTGCGTTTACAAATTCATACTAAATTCTATATTAGTTGGAACCCGACAATAGGCTAAACAAGGAGGAAAACATACTATTTGCAAAGTCATCTGAGTAGCAGCAACAATAGAAACTTGACCTCAAACTAGATGAGACTTGACAATAGGCTAAACAAGGAGGTAAACAAAGTACTTGCGAATTCAATTGTGAGTAATAACAATAGAAACTTGATCCAAAACTAGTTGTGAAGGACAGTAGGCTAAACAAGAAGAACAACAAGATACTCTGTATCTTATTTTAGTCAGGCCAGAATAGCAAGGATGAAACAAAGAAAACTTCTTTAACATAGTAAAAAATATTCCCACCAAATTATCTAGAAAAACTGATATTATATAAGGAAAAATACAGAGATAAAATATTTGGGTTGGAAAAGTAACATAATTAAGGTTGAACCTGATAAGGAATACAGGACAAGTAGATGTTTCCAGGCCAAAATGACAATATGAGCTATTTAGATCACTAAGTAATAGGTCATTCTGTGGAGCTGAAGTTAATTTATGGAACTGCATCACATCCTCATCCTCGTCCTACTACAAAACAAGCATTGTCATGCACTCATGCTTCAATCTATGTAAAATATGGTTCACGTGTTTGTCGATGTCGTCAGCTGCAATACCAGGGGTGGTGGGCCAAGGCCAATACGCTCATGTCTAACCTAATTTTACCTGATTCTATCTCTTTAAAGATCTTTTGCCATGTTAGTGGTCATCCATAAAATGAATTTTATCATGGATGGCTGGGCCTCATATGAAAACCAAACAAACCCAATAAATTCCACACTGAATAGGGTCTTGGGAAGTAAAATGTATGCATGCTTATCATTTGCCCCGAGGTAGAGAGACTATTTTCATGAAGACCCCAGCTTGCAAAAGAGTGTATCTGGAAAACAACAAGCACATATGACATATCTGGTGAATATGGAATACGGTGATTGGGTGATGTGAGGATTTCAAGCAAGTAAAGATCCGTCAAGACGGATATGCAATAATAGCATCAATGCATCCCAGTTTAAAATTACTCTACTGGGTCAAATGACAATTATATATAGAGAGATATATCAACTCTTAATTGACAAGCATATTTTGGTCATTAAGATCCAAAAGATAAGGTATCTGCTTCCAGGTCTTTTTTCATTTTTCCTTGAGAAGAATTACTAGAAGCATCAAGAAAAAATATTCCATACAGAGATTTCCTTGGTATTACATCCAAAAAATTACCTTTCAAATATTATTAGATCCGTACTATAATCAGATAGCAAAGCAGTTGATCTTTATGATGTAATATCTCGACATTTATCAGTTAGTAAATCACTTAACATTGTGTGTGCATATGCATAGAAGCCAGAAACTCCTAAAATCAACAAATAAGTTACCGACTGGACCACTATAACGGAGATATATATCATGTATGTGTGTGTGTTTGCTGTGTATGAATCAATGTGTCTAAGTAGATAAATATATCACTAACTTGAGATGGAAATGCCGACTTGAACGCCTTTGGTTCAATGTTAAAACCTCCTGCTCCCGCAGCTTTGAAAATCCCATACATCAATCTCAGATCAACATCAAACAAAAACAGCCTCATCCCTTTATAGACCTTTGCTACCTGATCTTTCTTGCCTGCAGGCAGCCCAAGAATTTTGTAACGGAAGCAGTCAGCTTTTGTTTTCGAACTACACATAAACACCATTCCCATGCTCTTAACCTTTTCTAAAGCCTTCTTTTTTCTAGAGGATTCTGACTTATCTCCATCCACAACGGCTATCTCAGAAGCCTTTTGTGCAACCTCCTTCTTCCTGTTCCTCCTAGGTCTCCTTCCCCTTCTATTGGAACCATTGCCTAATTTTTCTCCTTTTTTCTTCTCCTCAGATTTCTCCTCAGCTTCTCCTTTAATTGAAGCTTCTTTGACATCCTCATGTGTTGCTTCTTCCCCTATAGCCTTTTCTTTGTCATGATTTTCATCTATTGTAAGTCCATTTTTAGCTGCTATTGTTGCATTTACTTCATTTGCATCCCCAATCACCATCTCAGAAGCCTTTTGTGCAACCTTCTTCTTTTTGTTCCCATTTCTACGCTTATTTCCCTTTCCCTTTGAATTCCCACACAAATTTTCCCCATTTATATGTTCTTTGGTCTTCTCGTCTTTTTCTCTTTCTGCAACTTCTCTGGCAGCATCTTCCTCGTGTGATGATTCTTCCCCAATAGCCTTTTCTTTGTCATGATGTTCATCTATTGTAAGTCTTTCACCTATACTTGCTACTGTTTCATTTCCTTCATTTGAATCCCCAATCACCATCTCAGAAGCCTTTTGTGCTGCCATCTTCTTTTTGTTCCCCTTCCTACGTTTACTTCCTTTTCCCTTTAAATTCCCACCCAAATTTTCCCCAGTTATATGTTCTTTGGTCTTCTCATCATTTTCTCTTTCTGCAACTTCTGTGACAGCTTGGGCATCGTCTGTTTCTCCTTCTGTTAAAGATATTTCTTTTTTGTGTCCTTTGTCTATCTCAAGTCCTACCAGAGAATTTCCGTCTTCCATACCGTTTGTACTTCCAGGACGTGCCATAGTTTTCTCCACAAGCACTATTGATGTACTTGATACAGTTGATGGTATAAGAACTATTTGAGCCCCATCCTCTTTGGGACTTGAGTTAGATTTTGAAACGTCATCCTTTTCATTTACATCAGCCATTGATACAGGGTCCTGTGAAATTTATGTCATGGAACCAAAAACAAGTAAAATAATCAGAAAAGGGTTGAGTAAACGTCAACGTGATCACCCAAGATGGTCATTCATCAGTATCAAGAAACAGAACTTATGCCAGATTACATAACACGGATTATTTACATTATTTGAAGAAAAAAAAATTCATATATTCGACGGACCAGAACATTCTTAAGAGTAACAAAATCAACACTTTGAGGTCTTCAAACACAGGGAATGAAATCTAATCATATAATGGTCTACTAAATAAAAAAGAAATAGTTAAATATGGGAAAGGCGTATGAGTTGTGGCAATAGCAAACAGAATCTCAAGTTTATGAACTACAGCGAGAATTCCTTTCCTAAGTCTTAACCTAGCCTTCTGTTCAAGCTATCTGTGATCACGCAAGAGAAAACAATGGCATTCTTTTTCCATGGATAGTAAAAACCGAGTTCAATAAAGCCTAGATGACTATCTAGATGGTAGATTGTGGAGAGGTGCAAAGGAGGTTTAGTGCACCAGGGACGTTGAGATGCAAAGAAAATAGAAAGAAATATGAAAATCATCTGGCAGATGGGCACTGGGTGGATGTGTTGGATTAATATGAGAGAGGTGAGCCTTTTCCCAAGTCTGAACAGAGGAGGTTGTTTCTTTGGTTCGTGTGGATGGTATTCTCCTATAGCACGCATACATTTATATAAGCACGACTAAACAAAACAAATCATGTTGTTGCTCATTTGTAATGGTACGGCTTCATTCAAAGAGCTTGACCACCCCAAAGCCGCATATGCGGTGCAGGGGATGATGGAGTTTGAAATTATGGAATCAAAACCAGGACGAAACTCCAATCAAAATTTTAAGATTCGCATACGAATCTGACAAAAAAGAAGAGAAAATAATATAACATAAACCAAAAACATTAATTTACCAACCTTTTTTCTAATTCAAATGATATTGTAGTTTACACAATTCAAACATGAGAGCCATTCACCAAAGCTATTTACTGAACCTCGTTTGGAAATTCAAGACCTTAGGAATCAAACACAAACACAAACAACAAACACAAAACCCTAGACTAGTAACCAAATATCACAAAAAACAGAACTTCACAAACCAAGGAAATCAATGTGAATGGTTAAAAATCAAGTAGATGCTAGAGAAATTATGCAATATTTACCTTATGTTGCGAAGACATGAAGGCGTATAGAATGAAGAGATCAAATAAATGAAAGTTGGGAATAATCAGACTTGCAGAAGAATACCATTTCCGATCTCCAATTATCGGGTCGAGCTTTCTGACCTACGATCCAGGTTTGCTACCATCCCGGATCAAAACATCCCGAGCATGTGTTTTCGGGTTAAAGCCAAATCTACCAACAAATCTGTATTATGCAATCTGAATATTTTTTTCACCCAAAATGTTAATGACTCAAAACGCAAAATGCGCGAGGACTTGAGGTATCAAATTCTTACAGAACAAAATCAGCGCCTAAATATAAGAGTAAATTACAGTTTTGGTCCCTTTGGTTGTTACTCACAATCAATTCTCGTCCCACTTTTAGGCTAATTACGGTTTTGGTAATTATGGTTACCATTTTGTTTCCAATTTGGTCCATGTGTTGCCATTTTGTTTCGGATTTGGCCTATCTTGTTAAATCTGTTAAGAAACGCAGTTAATTTAAAGGACATTTTGGTCTTTTGACTTATTTGTTTTATCATATTGTCGTCTTTTTCTATTGCTTTTAGATAATTTTAGTGTACACATGCTTAATCTATATGTACGATCAATTGATGCATCCTAACCACAACCCAAACCCAAACCCACTTTCGGCGAACCCAATAGTCTGATGAAGCATTATAGGTCATCTTCTCCAATAAAACCTCTCCGGTCATCTTCTCCGGCGAAACTAAAATGGTTGATGAAATACATGCAAAATAATTAACAAATCATGATTCCAAAACAAGCTTATAATTCCAAACAAAACTCAGATTCCAAATAAACGCAAATCATAAATCAAAACCCAAATAAAAAATTGAATCTAAATCAAAACCTAAATCAAAACCCAAATCCAGATCCAAAATCGTAACTCAAATGAAAGAGTAAATCAAAAGAGAAATCATAATTCAAAAGCAGACCAACAAAAAACAAGCCCAATCATCTTCAGATCCACGACAAAGGGTACAAAACATATTTGTTGGTTCAAAAAGAAATCTGAAGTTCAACGAAAAGATATAAGACTTTGAGTGAATGTCATGATCGGCTTTGTTCCTCATCGACGACAAAACCCAACCATTGTAACCACTCCTTTTGTTGGAACTTGATTTAATAGTGAGAAACATTGTCCCACATAGGAGAGCCAAGGAAATTTAACCCACTTAATATACACCAACCCTTGAGCATTAAATGAATTATTTAAAAGTTTGAGCTTTGGTGTGTGGTGTTTCATTGTGGCCTCTTCTTGATACATATTTAAGGTCAAAAGATGGGCCTTGGCCTCAATCGGGCTTTAACCCGACCTGAACGACAGATTAATTTCGCCAGATTCAAGTGCAAACTTAAATTTGGTTGTTGTATCCTCTAGATGAACGCCAATTATAGCGGCGAATTTTGGTCTTAGGACACTGCAATTGTGCAGGCCTCAATCGGGATCAAGATCACGAAGAATTTTTTAGTGTGTGGTTGTAGTTGATTCTTTTTAATGTTCTAAAAAAATCCATCATTTTTAGTGTTATATTTTAAGTGGTTGGGTTGGAGATGCCCTAAAACTCCATATTTATAAGAAAGAAATAATATTTAATTATTTTTTTACCAATAAAAGACATAGAAATTAAGTATTTAAGATGGATAAATAATATTTTATTAAATGTATTGAATATTTTAATAATATAGTTAATAATATAATTACTAAAATAGAGTACATGATGAAGTTAGATGTAACTTTTTTGGAAATTTTAACTTTTGATACTCTATTTTGGAAAAATATAACATAACTATTAGTGATGTTCTAAGAGAGATAAGATGAAAATCTACAAATTTGGAGAAATCTCTAAAACTATATAGAAGAGAGAGAAATAATATTTTAATTTTTTCTCACCAATAAAAAATTAAAAATAAATGTGTATGAGAGAAAAATAATATTTTATTAAAGGTATTGAATATTTTATTAACTTTATTAATGTTATAATTGATAAAATATAGTAGCTCTTGGAGTTGGATATATTTTTTTTAGATATTTGTTTTCATACTCTAATATAGAAAAATTACAGCTTAACTATTTGAAATTCTCTAACACTGTCTTTTACATGTGGCTTAAAGGGGCGGGAAGATTTTGACATTTTGTCAAAATACAAGACAAGTCATGGGTTCGATCTCATCCCCCCAACCCCCCCCAACCCCCACGGGCTAGCCTTAGTCGTTGAATAAGCCAAAAAATGTCTCCTCACATTATTGTCCTTAAAAGCATGTTTCATATGAGACTGGTTGGAGTTGCCGCTATCAATTTTTTGCCCAAATATAAATATTAATAATTGTATTCATTAAACTGATACAAGATTAATTTGGTTAACAATACTATATCAAAATACAAACTTGATTAGTACACATTACTATTAATTTTATACTATGATATTACCTTATTTAGAGATGGAAATGGGCCGGGCAACGGGTGGGAATGCATACCCGACCACGCCCCGGCCTAATCCCAACGTGTATGGAGGAAAAAAAACCACAACGAGCCCATTTAGGAAAAAAAAAAATATATATGTATTTTTAAAATGAAAAGAGAAATGAGTTTTTACATTTCAAATATATAAATAAACCTCAAATTTTAGGAAACACATTATAACATAGTTCTTCATAACAAATTTAAAAATATAACATTATTAAGCAACAAAAATGAATCGATTAAATGCATGAAATAACAACATATTTTTATAAAAAAATTTATTGTAATATTGTAGTTTCATTTTTTTTTTGTTTGAAGCAATTCTTTTTGATATAGAGAAGGGAGGCCCCTCTTATCGAGAGAAAAGAAATACAAACACTAAAAAGAACAGGTTAAGCACTGGGGTAGGGACAAAACCATATTCATCAGAAAGAAACCAAAGCTCCGAAAGGGAAAGAAAACCAACCACTAAGGTACAAAAATAAAAATAAATTAATTAATGAGTCGCAGCCAGGCAAGTAATGTTCATATAAGAAGCAAGGAAACCCAGCATGTCATAATAAACAATTATGGGATGAGAAGAAAAACACGATTTCTGCACCAAAGCGTGAGTAACCCCAGTTTACCGCCTAGCAAAGCAGACAAAGTAAGAGTCTTATTGAATGAACAAAATATGACACCTCAAGATAATATCCCCTCATAACATCATTCCCTAAAGCATGGATAACACCAACTATTTTTTGGCATTTGATTTAAATATTACCTCGAGAAACCCAAGTTCACTCGCTTGAGACACAACTCTGTAATCTTTAATTGTTATAATTTTTTTTGATGAACTTTGATATATAACATGTTATGTGAGCCAACTAATCTTAGAACGACTACATGCTTTACGGGTAGTCCGGAATCACTGTATCTAAACTTTCGTGACCACAAGAGGATTTTTATTCCTTCTTAGATTTGACCGTGGAACCTCCAGACACTTTTGACGATTGAAGTCCGAACTCAAACTAATTAGACACTACCTTTGTGATTAATTATTATAACTTTTATCATTGATAGTTTTATCTTATTTGCTATTTATTATTGTTGGTTTCATTTTATTAGATATTTATTATGTTAATTTATTTTATTATATTTTTAATTTTTTTTATTGATGTAGTTTTTATTTTCTAATTTTTGATTATTATATATTTTAATTATTGTCTTTTAACTATAATAAGTAAGTTTTAATATTATAAATTTTATAATTTAATTTGTCATTTTGTAATTTTCTGAAAAGGTCTATGATTGAGAGTAAAATGTTTATAAAATGTGTAGAGAATAGAAAATTTATAAGAGAGAGACAGAGTTGATATGGTTAACGTCGTATTCTCGATTTTAGGGAGAAAATAAAATGAATTAAAAGGGAGAGAGAGAAAGAAAGAAAAGATAAATAATTTTTTTATTTTTATTCTTGAAAAAAAGTGAAAAGAAAGAAAAAAATTTATATGTTCTTGAACAAGAAAGAAAATATGCCAATTTTATAAATACTAGAAATGTATTCGTATAATGTATTAAGACATATCTTAATTTTAATGTCTTGTTTTATTATTTATTTATATCGATATAATACGGTTTTATGTGGCTTTGAGAAAGCGATAATGTTTTTCTTTTTGAATAAATTATAAATTTTAAAATATCATAAAAATTTGAAAAAAAATTATAGATATTAGTATTAAATTAACTATTTAAAGGTTCTTATTTTATGTAATTTCCTTAATTCAAAATTTTTATTATAAATGAATTTAAAATAACTTAATTTAGGTTTAATAATATAATTTTTTATAAAGATGATAATTAAGTATTCTGTTAAAATTTAATGATCATCTTAATTATTTTTTAGATTTTTTATATTTAAAGTGAGATGTTTATCCAGTATTTGATTATATTTATCTGCAGTTAGTTATAAGAACTCAAAGATAAAGCTTTAATAAGTTGTATTTAAGCACAATCTACTTGTAATCTTGAATTTTAAGTAATATGTATCAATAAACAATACTTGATACATAAAAAATAGTTTTTAATAGTTTTTGTTAAATGTTTTATCTATACTATCTTATTAAGCAAATTTAACAAAAGTCTTAAAGTCTTAAAATACTAAATGACCAAAATACTCTTTATACTCACTTTTTTCACTTTTTTTTTTTTTTTTCACTTTTTCACCCCCTCATATTCTCACATACACTCATCCCCTCACATACACTCACTATCTCACAACCATTTTTTTAAAATTATAATTTTAAATTTACACTTTATACTCCTATAATTAATTAATTAATTTACTTTACGTCATTTACTTTTAAATGTTTCATTTTAAACATTTATCAAATTAACATATATAATCGTATATCAATTAAAACATTTTTAAAAAATACATTTTTATTTTAACAAGTTACACCATTATAATCGTCTCGTTAATACATTCGAAATGAGTTCAATATTGAAAAGTTTTTGACTTAATTATATTATTATATATTATATATACTATGAAAAAATATTTTTAATATTTATGATTTATACTTTTATAGTTATTTATTTATATATATACTATATATTTTAGGGTTAGGCTGTCCAAATTGCACTGTATAATATGTTTTGAATTAATATGTTCTTGAGTTTTTTTTGAAATATATATATATATATATATATATACATGTCTTGATTCAACCTTAATCTGAGTGTCTTGACAAGAAAAAGGGTAAGCAGTTAAAACTTTATTTTAAAACCCATATTTTTTTGTCTTTTTATGACTTATGATCTGTCAAATTTATAGTTTTCTTTATTGGTTTTGAGTGTTTATCTTGAAACTCAAGTTTCTTGGTTATTTGCTCTTGGTGTAAATCGAATACATTTGTGGAGTCGTTTAAATATGTTGGATTTTAAACTGTCATACAATTTTTTCATCGATAGTCTGTAATTGGAACCATAACTCTTATTTATTCAAATTGTATTAATATGTAAAGACCAAGTGTAACCTATATCATTGTTAAATCTTATCTTACAAAACCAGTGGAACTTCAAAATCGTTAAAATTCATAGCTCTCGCCGCATTGCGCGGATACACAACTAGTAATATAATATAAATATTATTAAAAATATGTCGTTTATAATGAAATGTTAAATAATTTTTTAAAAGAGTTTTGATTTATTTCCTTTACTTTCTCCGTTTATCCGATACTTTCTTTTAGTGAACTCTACTTCTGGTCCATGTGGCTTACCCCAAATATCTAAATCACCCTTCAAATGAAGCCAAAATAAATGAATATTAGAGTTCGTTTATCAAACGTTTGTCTGGTAAGTGTTTACCAAATAACATTACTTCGTCAAATGAATATGATAAAGATTATGAGTTTTACCTGGTAAGAGCAAATGCAAAGACTAAAGGTGACGACTCTTACCACAATTAGCACTTACCAGGTAAATTGTTGCATACGACATCGTTTTGATGGCCTAAAATCTTTGCCCGAAAAGTAAGTGATAATATTAAATTTCGTCGGTAAACACTTACCAGAGTAAGCATTTGGTAAACAGAACGGCTCATTAGATACATTATGATATGTGAATTATCATAATGTAAGCTCGGTATTTGTTGTAAAATTTGTTTTAGATATATGCAATTATAAAGCACCAGATACTTTTCTTTATGCATTTTAAAAACCATGAGTCCATACATGAATAAAGCGGACAACATCTGATACGTCACTATCTATAATGGTATTACAACAATATTGCAATTTTGCACGATATTTTTACGGTCAATACGATCAGAAACCATGTTAAGAACCATATTAATTCGATTCTTTACATTTCTACGAGCTAAACAAACGAAGATAATTACTCAAAATGTTAACTAAAAAAGCCCCAAACAAAGTGATCGAATAGAATTTTAACTACAAAGTTCCGAGCACAACTTCTGCATCTGATCATTAGTGTCATTAGAGTTTTCAAGTGTATAAGACTGAAAATTTCCATTCTGCAAGCATGTCATGTTCACTTGCTTGTCTAATTGCACCAACTGAAACAAAATCAATCAAACACATATATGTTAATATATAGTTACGTTAATTAGACGAATTTAAGGAAGATTAATCTCGAAAACCCTCACCTTGCAACGTACGTCGCACTGCCATAAAGGAGTCGGGATGCACGTCAAATAATGACACCAAGAACAATAATCGTTTCCGTTAACTCCACGAATAACCAAAACCAAACCAACCGTAAATCTGCGGATACAAATAAATGCACGTTAATTTCCAAATATCGTGGAAAACGAGTAATTAGATTAGATGAAGAGGAGGGTTGATTAATTAATTACCCAACGAGTAGAGTGATTAGGGAGAGGATCAACAGTACTAATTGATAGTGTTTGTATTTGGATTTGGTGGTGGGAGCAACATAACCATGTGGAACGTTTTTCTGGTTAATCCATTTGAACTGTGGACGGATCAAAATCACAAACCCTAGTAAAAACCCACTGAAAAATCCTCCGAGATGTGCAAAGTTGTCTACATGAGGAAGAATTCCGACGGCCATGTTGATGAGGACGACGAATACGAGAGTCGATAACGCTGCAACCTGACGATAATATATACAAAAATGTAGATAATATATGGTTATGAAGCTTGTCTTATTGGAATTTTTGCATATAGAAACTAGGAAGGATTACAGATAGGTTAAACTTGAACTAACCTTGTTGGCATAAATAGTCCAATTTATAAGAAGTTCAGAGAGCATTCCTCCGAGTAAGCCGAATAGAGCTCCGGAAGCACCAACCGAGATGATTGTTCTTACAAACAAGGACGATAAAATACTGCCACCGATTCCAGATAATACGTAAAGCAACCCAATCCTCACTGAAAATAACACAATGACCAACTAAAGTTGAAGTCTTTGATTGTGTTCGAGTGTTGGAATGATATGATCATAGAGTGCTTTCATTTCAATGTTTTTTAGGTCAAATGAAAATATAAAAAGTGCAATTTTTGTTAGTTATATGTGTGAATTGTGACCTCCCCCTTTTGGGGTCCGGACCCCTACGAGTGAGCAGAAAAAGGAGGAGGAAAGAGGCCCTGGCAAACCGTCATAGGTTATAAACATGTATATAGAGGGAGGTTCGTTTAGAAGCAGGATATAATATAGACTTACAAAATCCAAACTCTTGCTCGAGGGAATACCCTACGAAACCCAAACTAATCATGTTCGCGAGTATGTGGAACACACCGGCGTGTAACCACATACAGGTCGCGATGCGCCATACTTCTTTTTCTTCGACCACTTTCTTAAGTTCTAAAGCGCCCATTTTTAGCAGCCTGGTAAAAAAACAGTACAGCTGAATCAAGGTGTATGCCAAAAACCCTAATCTTGATGAACTGGTTGGAATTCAATATTTCATTTTCCAACCAAAGATCTTGGATTGTTCATTAGTTTTGTGTATTTTCAGGATTCATGCAACAAACCCATATATATTTCCAAGATTCATGCAAAAAAAAACCCAAGAAACGTTTGAAAAAACAACACAAAATCATCATGTGAAACATGGAGACCAGCAAGAACTTGGAATAAGAAATCAAGAGATGAAACATACGTAGCCGAAGAGGGACCAAGAAGAGGGTTTATCTTGAGACTCTCAAAAGCGAATCTTTTCAAGAATCCTGGTGCGATGCATCTATTTGAATGGTCTGGACAATTGTTGATAAACATGGAAACTAAGAAGGTAATGACGTTGACGAAAACGATGGTAGGCACTAACCAAGGAACCCAATCTTTATATGGATTGACTTCCGGCGGCGGAGAAGATAGGTCGGCCACCGGCGGAGAACCGACTGGAGGGGCATTCACACGGGGGGACTGCACCTCGATCTCAAGCATCGGTGACTCCCTTGAGGATGACCGAGCCATGGCGGTGGCGCCCGGCCAATCCCTAGGGAAGAGAACTGTATGCGATTGATCAAGGTCGGGGTGGTGGGCTGGGTTTAATCATCATCGTTAGATTTGTGGTTTTTTAGGAGAGATTAAGAATAGATGTTGAAAATTGACCATGGGTGGCCGGAAAATTCTGGTACAAGGTGTCGGAGGTATACGGAGGACGATATGCTGTTTTTGAGATGAACGGGGAAATCTCAGGCCACGGGTATATGTTATTTTTTTTTTTTACTTGGATCATTCCTGAAGAGATATAATAAACTTTGAAGTAGTTCATGATAAATATCATATCTTTTCAAAGCCTTTTTAATCAAAAACCCAACAAACTCGTTATATTTAAATACCCATAACCATTATTAAATATTGATTCATTCTTTTAAAGTTTATAAGCAATAAAAGATATGTTTACCTTTTAAAACTATTTGAATCTCATATATATAAATATATATTTTTTTTTTTT